TTTTCTTTCCTGTCAGATGTTTATAGAAATCCTCCAAGAACCAGCAATAAAATACTTCATCTTCCTATTTCTTTCAAAAATAAAGATCTTCTTTTTTTTTAACCCTCTATGGCTCCTTCCCTTAGGAATTTATCCCTTCCTGCTACTCTTCCTTTGAGGGTGGCTGGGCTTGTTGAAACTGCAGTCCCCTTAGAAGCAGATCTTGGTGCAGCATTTGAGAGGAGCAGAGATGAGACTTGACTTATGATGTGCCTCCCTTCTTTTTTTTCATTCTCCAAATAAATAATAAAAGGCATTTAAAGAGAAAGACCAGGCTGGATGGGGCATTGAGCAACCTGCTCTAGTGAGAGGTGTCCCTGCCCATGGCAGGGAGATTGAAATGATACCTTAGGAGCTTGTTGCCTCAATACATTTGTCAACACGGGCTTCCTTCAAACAGTTTTCTTATTGTCTAGTCCTCCTAAATACCCAACTTGCTTATTCTTCCCATCCTCCTTTAGTTTTTCTTCTAAGGAAAGCTGAAGAGGAACTCGTAGGACATGCCTGGCACATGTAACTAGTCCAGGGACCCAGAACCTCCCCCTGTGAGCAGGATGTTTTGACATGAGGTTGCAGTAGTGAGGTTGTCATAGAAACCACCACATTCATCACCCACAGAAGAGTGAGGACAGACTGTCACTCCCCATCCAGAGAGGAATGAAGCTGGGAGGTGATCCTGAGGGGCCCATCACTCCTCCTGAGACAACAGGCAGGAGTGGGAGGTAAAGGCACCAGCATCTCAAAAGAGGAGCTCCCATTCTGGTGCATCCTGAAGACATCACAAGGTGATGCCTCCTCCTCTGAGCAAACTAAACCTAGGAGTCCCACAGAAGCATTTCTTCAGATGAACTTTCTTTGGAGCAACTGGATGCAAAAGCTCCCAGTGACAAATCTCAAATATTTGGAGATGGGCACATTCCCAGAGAAGGGAGAGAGCAAAGCCTTTAGTAACCAAGGAGCGTGGAGTGAGCAGATACTCCGAGGTGGTGCGTTGAAAGCAGCTTTCCCTGCAGGCTTTCATCACCCCGTTGGTTAATTGTGGGCTTGGGGGTTGGTTCAATAGCTTGAACAACAACAGAGCAAAGTACAGTTTGCTCACAGTGTGGGCTGGTCAGAGCTTGCCTGGATACCTGGCTATGGGAAATGTTACACCCTTAACCTCACGTACAGAAACTCTCAAGAGGAGGACAAATGGCAACCAGTGGAGAGCTGCTTTCCAAACAGACTTTAAGACATTTTCAAAATGAATATGTCTATGAAATGCTGCTTAATTACTAAACAATAGCCAGTGATGTTATTAATGGCAAGTCCAGCTCAGGTTGGTTGTTTGTGGACCTAGTAGCCACATGAACCCTTTGGTGTTCACACAGTTCTCCTCACTCCTTTTCAGATGGGATTTGTTTCTCAGTGCTGTGAAGACCCCCCTGCCACTTTGGATATGGAAAAGGGGATATAATACATGGAAACAAGCCTTGCAAACAGCCTTGCAATGGTCCTGCAAACAGCCTTGCAATGGTCCTTCCAACAACCCTCCCTGCAAGGAATTTTTGGATCTGCTTTCAAGGTTCTCCTTTGCTCCTGTTCTCAGGCTGCCATGGACTCAGTGTGTGACCCAGCTATGAGACATCCTAGGAATAAAACAGGCCACTAATGAGCCCTGTACACGGCCATAAAGTTGCTCCTGTGACTTTTATTGCTGCTAAGACTCATGTTGGGATGCAATTTACTTAGAGGGGCCTGCAGAACTAACAGACTACCCAGAAATCACTTGGGAAAATAGCTCAGGAAAAGATTTAAAAATAATTTCCACTTCTCTGCGGGTTATTTTGTAATTACACAGCAAATTACCTCCAGTGTAATCTTGAGACAGAAAAAAACTGCCCATGCTCAGGTCTCCTCTTGAAGACACAGCTGGTGCTACTGGTGTTACTGGTGTTACTGGCTGTCCTTGTGGCTGTCTACCACGTGGGCTGAAGTAAGGATCCATACTTTAAGCAGGTATTGCATGGGCAGAGGTCTAAAAGCAGAGACAAAGTCTTCTGAAGAATCTCATCTCTGGTGTCTGCCACTTTGCTGTGAAATTTTTAGTGACCTGTGACAGGGCGCAAGGCTGAAATTATCAGAGAGTTGTTCAATCTTAGAGAAAATCAATTATTCATAGTAAAAATATTGCAGAACTATCATCATAGACAGAATGTCATCTGCTTGTAAGTAACAATTAAGTTTTTAATGTTTTTTTTCCTGAAGTCCCTGTGCCAGGCACTATGAGGTAGCATTTGTCACAGCATTAATTCCTTCCTCTACCTGTAAGCAGATGAGAAAACATTTGGGCTTTCCAGAAATTAACCCTTGTCTTCATAACCAGAATTCTCACAGGGGAATAAACACACAAAAAAAATCCTAATGAAGCCAAAAAACTCCACACTTTTCACACAGATTAACAGGTAGAGCTGAGGACAGTTGGGAGCTCTAGCCTGAGATCCCAGCTCACATGAGAGCCAGCTAAAACATCTTTCAAAGTATTGCCTGGTAAATCCTGATCTTAAGAAGGAGTTATGAAAAAAAAATAATGTAAAAACATATTTACATGCTGGCACAGGGGGTTTAATTAGTATTTTTTAAATCAGCAATTAAAGAAAAGAAATCATTACTAAAACCTGAAGCTGTTCCATCTGATTTTCACCCTTACAGCTTGCTCAGGGCAGTGGTCACCCTCCTGCCAATATATTAGGTTTACCAGAGCAGGATTTTCTTGGACTGGCCTAAAGCAAGGGCAGAGTGATTTAGTCCACAAAGGTAAATTAAACTGGTAGGTTTTAATTAGGAAAAGCTCCATTTACAACCCAATAGGGGGCATAAGGTTATTTGTACCCAGCACAGTCTCAAAGCAGGTGACAACACTTTTCTTTCCCTCTCTCTAATGCAAAACTCTTGAATTAAAACAATAGTTTTGGTTCCTGGACTGTTTATTCTCCTCATCCCATCTGCAATGAGCATAACTCAAATTCCACTTTTTTTCTTTGTCTTTCATGGCTGAGTAAGGTAAATTTGAACTCGTTCCTCCTTTCTGTGACTTCTGAAAGGTTTTTGTGAATATTTTGTGAAAAAGAGTTGTGAATATTATATAGTCTGTCTTATTTTGTGAAAAAATAGTTGTGAATATTGTATAGTCTGTCTTATTTTGTGAAAAAATAGTTGTAAATATTATATATTCTTATTTTCTGAGAAATAGTTGTCAATATTATATATTCTATCTTACATTTCCCTCTCTTTTATGTGTTCACTGCCTAGAGGCTGGGGCTAAATGTCCAAAACTCTCTGGACACCACAGCTCTGAATCCTGGAACACCTTTGAAAGTGTTTTATTCTTCTGTTGGAGCTCAAGTCAGCTCTTTGCAGCACCGTGCAGTGATGTAGCAGCATCCCAGGGTGTGTGATCCACGGACTGGGCTGCAAGATTTGAGCATGAGAACAGGTTAGAATGTGCTGCCAGCAAGGAAGGTGCTGAAGGTGTTTGAAGCAAGGCAGAATAAAGAATGTTTTTGGTCTGCAATAATCCTCAGTAACCCCTTTAAGTTCTGTGTGAGCCCAGCAGAGCCACTTTTCTGTTGTTTTTTAACCCACGTGCCATTTCCCTCAAATAAGGACTCAACATCTGGACTCTAACAATAAAATCCTGCAGAGGAAACGTATTTAAAAAAGCAAAACAAAACTCTTGAACACAAAGCCTGTAAACCAGAGGCTGGGGTGCAAAGCTGGTGACGTAGCTGGATTTCAAAGAACTGGGAGCAGCTTTTAGCAGGAGGGCAATTGCTGAAGAGTGCTCTGCACATCCTGATAATACAAATTATCAGGATAATACAAAGAGCTGGCTGTGGGAAAAACAGAGAGGCTAATGGCCTCTCCTCTAGCCACAGATGATTGTTGCCTGGGGTGGGGGAATTGTGTGTTTTGCTTTTTGAGTTGTTGGGTTTTTTTTCTCCTCTCCTTGATCAGCTGCTTTTTAAAAGGAAAAAAAAACTATAATACAGGAAACCATAATGGAATTCTGCTCTGTGTCACCCTTTCCCCTTTTTTTTGACACATATTTAACCAAGTGGCCTACTAAGCTAATGGACAAATGGCATTTGTCACACTGCTCTGCCAGAGCAGATGAATCTGATGGGTTCTCCATTACAGGCAGCAGTTCAAACACACACGTCTTGCTTCCAGGGAAGAGCTGGAACAAATCAAGAGCTCAATTCAACATCCAAGTACTTAAGTTAAAAGTCATGATTGCTGTTCACAAGCTGTTTTTCCTGAAAAAAAAAAACAAAAACAACTAAATTTATTGACTTGAAAGTTAAAAATCCTTGGACTCATGGACAGATTTCATGGGCAGGTGTCACAGACTCATAGGGGGGGTGGCCAACAGGCAGATTGGCATCTAACCTGTGCAAACTTCCCTTTTTTTTTTCTTTACTAATAATGTTTGTGCAGCTTAAAAGTCTATCATCTGCTTCCTTGCAGCTCGTGTGAGCTTCTGTCAGGCAGGCAGTTTTATTGCTCTCATTTCAGGCTGCCTGCAGATGCTGGCAAGCTATAAATGTTAGAGCTACATCTGTGTATATTATTATTATTCCTCCCAATAAATATTCACTCAACGTATTCACTTATTAGGGTGAAGACCTCAAACATCCCATACTGGGAAAATGATGCATTTATGATATAGATACACTCCAGAGGCAATGAATTACCTTTAAGTTGTGTTTTAAACCCACTGGATCTTCACAGGCAAGTTTTTATAGAACTTTTAAAGGCAAGACTCAAAGCCCACCACGATGCTACACGACTGGATTTTAACTCAAACAGAAGAAAATACAGGGAATACAGGACTTCTGAATATAATATTATCCATCTGTTTTATGTGAAAGATTCTAGAGTACATTTTTCTTCTACATTTTGCATAGTTTGTGCAGAGATCACTGCTGGTACCCTGCTAACTTCAGCACAGCAGGGTAGTGTGCACGGTGGGCCATGCACTTCTGCTTATCAATGAAAATACTGTTTGTTTTCACAGCTATCTCTTTTTCTAAATCCATCCGTGTGTCTTCCAGGTTCCTGAGGGTCTGTTCAGATTCCAGCAGCTTTTTCTTCAGAGATTCAATGGATTCAGTTAGTTCTTCAACTTCACTGATCAACCTGAATTACATTAAGGAATTAAAAAAAAAATCAAACAAAGAGCAGAAGCCATTTAAAAAGTTCAGATGAAAAGGTTCTTTGTTCAAAAAGACTTATGAACTGTAAAGGGAATAAAGATTAACAACTATAAATTCATAATACTCAACAACAAAGCACCTCAGAGAGGTCCTACACGCTTGGACAAATGCAGAGCTCACTTTCACAGCTTCTCTACAGAAGCTTTCCATGATTTAGATAGTACCAGGAATGTCTTTTGCCACTAAGCATGGTGGAGGTGTCCATCCTCACCTCCTCCCACTGCACAGGACACTTGTATGAAGAATTCTAGGACAAACATTGGTAGATAAATCACCCATGTTGGCAGATAAATCACCCTGCTTGACCAGAGCAGCTTTTCTTTAAGCCTCGTTTTTGATATCTGGTGTAAATACTGGTATAAAACTCAATCATTAAAGATGATGCTGGCACCAGAGAGCAGGAAAAAAAAGTCATTATTCTAAAAGCATATCAGTTTTTAAAGCAACAACCCATTTTTCAAGCAGCCCACCAAACAAGTCAGTGGGGGTTTGGGGCTTCACTGCAACCTGCCTGCAGAGAAGGCACATATTTAATTCCTGGGAAAGCAAGATCCTTGTGTGCTGTGCAAACTGAGCAGCTCCAGACACCATGAACCTGGCAGTTAAAAGTTAAACTTTCAGCACAGGACGTGCATGTGTCCTTAAATCCCATGAAAGGCAATGACCACACTGAAAAGCTTGCACATGGGTGGGCTGCTGAATCAGGCCCTCAAAGGAGTGTGCCTGGGATGGTGTAAAGCAGCTGGATCAGCTACAGCCTCTTCCTCACTGTCTAAAGAACAACACATTGCCTTTGAATGCTGGGCACCTCTGCAACCAGGAGATTTGTAAGCCCACAAAAGCCAATTCTCCACTTTTCCTCAGGGTAGGAAAACGTGAAGGAGGAGAATCAATTACAAAGCTTATAATGAGATCAAACCCTGACAAATGTGCCATTCAGACCTATAATTCGAAAGGATTTGTTGACCTCCAGTATTAAAAGGGATTATTACTGAAAATCAAATGCCACCAGCTGGATGCTTCCCAGTACTGAGGCTCCCTCTCAGACTACGAGTATGTGCAGCCCAATTTCCATGCTCAGCACTTGAAGCCCAACTCATTTGTTCCACAGTCCACCTTGTGGTGAGCTCCTGCTAACAGCAAAAAGCTTTCAGGTGATACAGGTGCTGTCAAAAATTTTTGCATCATCTAAATCAAAAAGAAACCACACAGTTCAGAGAAGAGACAAAAGGCAGAGTTGGGTCTATAGATTTTCTACAGGTCAATACATCAGTTTAAAATGATATTTTCCTCACAGTGATTTCAACTGAATGAATTCTGACTTAAATCAGTGTCAAAACTAGGAATAAAAGCTAAAAGCCACACGTTGCCAATAAAAAGTGGGAGAATTGTCTAACAGCACTTCTGGAGAGAATGGATAATAGTGTTCACCTACATTTAATGATGTTTACCTGAATTGTGCATCATCTCTGCAGAGCTCAACGTTGGGCCTAAAAGACCTGTCATACAGCCTGGTCTGAGCAACTTTCATGGGGGCTTCTTTGTCTTTGATGGCTTGTTTGAGAGCAGCAATGTTGGCTTCTTGATCTCCAATCTCCTTAAGGGTCTAAAGAGGATACCCAAGAAAAAGGACTGGTTTAAAAAAAGACACACATTGTCTCTGTGCATGCCAAACATCTGCTCATGGGCCTAGAGAATGAGCTTTGACCTCTTCTTTGGCCAGAACATAGAAGTGCAAAGGTGGTTTTGACCTCTTTATTTCTGCTACTGCTCTGAGAATCTGATTTTCAGTCAAAAAAGAAGCAGAAACTATTCTGCAGGCTGTTCCAAAAACTCTTTTCCACGTCTCCTGACAACACATCCCAACTTCACAAGTTGCTTTTCATTGTAAATTTTAAGCTGTAAATGACCCAAGAAAAATTCAAGCTATTTGGAATGATCTTGAGAGCTGCTCATCAGCTTGGAAAAGCAGATTTCTGGCATTAGGGAGGGAAATGGAAAAAAAAAGAGGAAAGTCTGAATCCCTTCTCCCTCATAACCACCAACACACATGCAAAAAATAAAGTCTACTCAGCTGTCATTGCTAAGGAAGAACTATTTCCTCCACACTTGCCAATGGCCCAGCAGAGAAGCAGGAGGTGGAAAGGGGCAGAGGCTGAAGATACCTCTTGCCACTCCCCAGAAGCTGCTGCTGCTGCTACTGCTGCAGCACCACATGGCCTTTGTGATAACCAGGGGATCCTGGCCCAAAGATCAGCTCCTTGACCACCTCAGGGGGTCACACAAGGTGTTCACAGTGACTTAGTTCAGGAAGCCATGGAAGAAAGTGTTTCCTTTTCTTCATATTTAAGTCCACCCCTTGTTTGCAGGAGCACAACAGGGAGCAGAAAAAGCAGAACTGGCCCCTCAGTGCAGCTCTGCAGACTCTTAGATACTTCTGACACAAAATCATGGTCAATACCTGACTTGGGCTAAGACATTGGGGTTTTTTTTTGTGGAGGATAACTATACTGTGATCTTCCCCAAAGAGACTCTCACACCTGTAGCCAGCATTCAAAAAAACAACCCTTGCCTTGTTCAGCTGATGCTCCAGCTTGTGTTTTGCATCACTCAGCTCCTCGAAGTGTTTGGCAAAAGCCTCATTAACAGCAGCACATTGCAGCCTCAGGTCCTCAGAGGCATCATGAAGGACATTGTCAATCAAGGCACGGAGGTTGGTGGAAGCCATTTTCTCTCCTTCTGCCCTAGAGATGTTGTCATGACTGAATTTGGCCCATGTCTCTGGTGTTGAGGCACTGGAAGAAGAGGTGAATGGGGTACAAATAGAATCCTGGATCTTTTGTTCTCTCTCAATCTGACAATCTGAAGTTCTCTCTCTACCAAAGTGTTGCCCAGCTCTATTTGGTTTTGCTGTTGCAAGACTTACCATGAAGGAAGATGACTAATCCTTTATAAAATTAATAAACTCTTGTTCATCTTGTGGCTTCTGAGGGAAGCAATACATGAAAAAAAAGCCATCCAAAGTTCTTCTCCCTTCAGTTAGGCAAAAAAATTAAACACATGCTTTTTTTGTGCAAGCACAAGCAGTTAAATCTCCAGCAAATGACCACGTGAAGAGATTCAAGCTGTACAGTGTGTGTCTGCTTCAAAACAAAATGACCCCAGAGCTCTGGTTATGCTTTGCCATGATATCAGAAGGACCCACACAGCACCTGGGACATCATCTGAACACAGCCTGGAAGGGGAAGGAGAAGCAGCAAGGGTCACTGTAAGAGTAAAACTCTCTGTGAAGAGGAAGCAGCACTTGGTTCTTCTTCTTCTGTCTTCTTCTGGGCATCTTGCTGATGTCAAACAGCAGGATTTACATCAGCCTTTAAAACTACAAAGCAAATTATTCCCAAGAAAAACTTATAGGAGCTCAGCTGGCCTAGAGTGAGGCAGCTCAACCACCAACCTGTGCCATGCTGAGGTGGGAGCTCCACCTTCACCATCCATGGAGCCACCTCCAAGCTGTGACACTGCCCAAAGCAGTGCCACCCTGGGTTGTCTGGGGAGGATGATGACAGTGGCTACTCACCTCTCTTCAACCTTCACTGAGGCAGGGTGGAACTGGATGTTGGTGTTCTGGTTGCTGTATCTCCCACACTTCTCATCCACGTTGTACGTTTGGACTTTGTCTGACCAGTCCCTTTCACAAACCTCTTGGTGAGCTCGATTTAACCTGGAAAAGTTGTTATTTCCCCACCTTGTTAGTGGAAAACAACACCATTCACACCACCCCCACAGACACTCGCCAGGCTCTGAGTCTTTGTCTTTCAAAGAGCAATGAGAACATAAACTGTCCTTTTTCTTAACCAAATTCCCCCTGTCCTTGCTAGGACAGCCAGCCTGATGTGCTGACCACCACCCTAGACCTTCTGTACTCTTCTGTGCCAGCTGAAGGCTCTTACAGCCTGACACAAAGGAGTTCTTGGACTTTGTATTTTATATAACACCCCTAAAACACAGAGGATGTCTTCAATAGTGGCAACAGCTGCAGTTATTGTGGGGAGAATGGGTGGAAGGTTGCCCAACAGAACACTCTTCCCATGATAAGACATGAAGCAGTGGTAGTAGAAGACACATCCTCTTCCTTCTCTCACATATTGAGCATGATTCAAATCTAAGCCCTCCATAAGTTGCCCCTGTATCATGTTCTGAGCCCTCCTGTCTGACTTTCAAAGACTGTAGCATGAAAACAGGGTAATTTGTCCTTGGAAGATACAATTACAATGATCTTCAGAGGTAAAACTTCTGCTTTATTGTCAATTAAATGAGTCACATGTCACCCAATTAATTAAATAACTGATTACAGAAGGCAGTGGGTTGCTATCAGCTGTTAACACCAGATGTCACTGTCACCCAAGGAATTAAAAAGATTCTGCTGGCCAATGCTTCTAAATCATGGCACTAAATGGGACTAAAATGATCTAAAAACAATCCTAAAAAGTGAGGCTTGCACTCAATAGACTCCTCTCATACTCTAAATGATATAACAGAACCATTTGAAATGATTTTGCATTTATGGACACTCTTTGTGAATACAACATTTCATTTTATCTGGTAGAAGAGCACAAATTGGAGCAGATAACAAAAAAAAACAAACCCAACCTAAAATGTCCAGGTTTCCAGCAGTTAACCCCTTCATAGTGATACACCTTTAACAGATTTCCAAAGGGCTTGTTAGAAATTAAAAGCAAATATTCCTTTTGAAGTGCAGTGAACATCCTGATACAGAAGGGGAAGTCTTAAGATTTTAAATTCATGCTGACATCTGTCAGCAAAAAAACCCCTCAGCTTGAAAAGGTTCTTTGATCAGATAAATTAATTCAAAAGACCCTAAACTACAAATATATCACCAAGTGCCAGAAGGTGAGAGTGATACCCAGAGAATACTTTTCCTGCAGCTGATTTCCATGTTGGAAAATGAAAGAACTGAAGGCACAGACTGGAAACCAGGATGGAAAATCTAAAGCATGGCTTGAGGTCATGGCTCTGCCCTTACCTCACCCTCCATGAAAATCCTGATATTTCATCACTGGATACCTCTTACAGATTGAAATGGGATTTGGATGGCTCATAAGCCTGGCATGGGTAAGAAATTTGTCCACTGGGCATCGTACCCCTATATGCCAGGAATTATTTGGCTCTGTAAATCAGCTACTAAGAGATCATGACAAATGTCTTACCTCATCTGGTTAACAGCTTGCATCAAGGTCCTTTTCAAAAGCTCCTGGATATTTCTGATAAGTTCAGCTTCCTAGATAAAAACACTGAGATGTGGTGTCCAGAGAAGTACCCACTGTCCTACAGAGCAATCTGATTTCAGGGCATAAACACTTCAATCTTCTGCTCTTACCTTGTTATTGCAAGACATGATTTTCCAAGCAGTTGGTGGATGCTGAGGTAACTTGGCTCTAAGTCTCAGGCATCAGAAATCATTGCATGTGTAGTCAATGAAATAAAATCTGGGTTCTATCAGATTAAACAATACCTGAATTACTTGCACAGCCTGGAAGCAGGGAAAAATAAGGCAGCAGTATCATGGCTGCTTCAGCAGGTACAACAAAGGTGGTGTAATAGAAACCAAATTACATTTATAGTTTTAATTTTGTTATTAGATCTATTGATTCCATGAGCTCATTTTGCCTCTGCTGCCTCATTCCTCTGAGCTGCAAGACACTGACTGCTCTAAAGTCCCAAAACTTCTCCTCCCCTTGATAATGGGGCCAAGATCTGAAGTTTCAGCTCAAGCTGGTTTTACCAGGAATGCTCTTTTCCACCCAAACGTGACCAAACCACAAAAGATCATATTTTTTCCAATAATCTCCTGTTGAACCAGTACCTGCTGCTCATTTTTGACTGCAATAATGTTGCTTTAGGGCTTAACTGTCAATGCTCCATGAAGTGACTCCCTGACCTGATGTTTACATAATATTGTATAAAAGCCAGGCCAGCAGGCATTCTCTTTTTCATTATTTAAAGGAATTTAATATTTGTGGCTCAGATATTAAAAAAAAAAAGCTTCTGTATATGAAAAATTCCTAATTAATTTTGATTTCCATCAATAACAGTCATCCAGTGACAGCTAAGGGAGTATACACTTACTAATAAACTTTATTCCCAAAACACTGCTGGCACTCATTGATCCTTGGACTGCTTTTTATGTCCCTGCAGTGTTAATTTCTCCATCAGGAGAAACCAACGGGGACCATAGAAAAGATCATTTTATCCTAAATGGAAAAGGACAATCAGGATTGGAAAGGAAAACACCATTTTTCAAGCTCTAAAGGAAACACGTGGCTGTATTGTTTCACAAACTGTGAGAAGACTAAACTCACTTGGTGCAGGGAGGAAGGATTTCAATGTCTGAGCTGTGAAGGACAAAAATCAGAAGGATTTTAAAGGGTTAGAAGGATCCAGAGCTTGAAATCACATTTATAATAACTGATATGATTTTGTGCTGGGTACTCAGTCTCCATGTAAATAAAGAGACAATTTCCCCTGAGCAATGTGCACAATTTTAAATGAGAAATAAAAGCCTTCCTTTAGCACTT